ATCTGAGTAGTCCCTGGGACCAGTACTAATCCTGGACTCTTCAGTTATGTGAGTCAATAAATTTCTATTTTACTCATGTCAATTGGAGGAGGTCTCTGTGACTTGACATAGAAGAGTCTAGTCAGATAAGTCCATGAAGATATGATATGATGGGACAGCTCTCTCATTTCTCAGGCAGTATGCAAACTGCTCTTGTCTAGGTTAGAAAGCAGACTCAGGAATGTCCGTGAAGTGCTAGTTCACCCTTCTGCTCAACACAATAATCTCCTCAATTAACAAAACACTTGATCCTGATTTTTTTTGTCACAGTAGTGGTGAAATACCAACAAAAAGGACAGTTCATTTTCTTCTGTGGGAGTCTGTTCAACTTTTTTTTGAGTTATCCAATCATTAAAAATATTTTCTTATATTGAATCCAAATCTGTATCTGTGAAATTGCTCTAGCACTTTGTTTCTGGAGCAACAGAGACAGGCCACTTGGGGACTGGCTTCCATCCCTAGATCCATGTAACTGCCTTCAGTAACTCACCTGAAAATCATGAATTATTACTGCCAGACGTGGCTTTTCCTTCACTGGTATCTTGTGCCATTTTGATTCCTTCTGTTCCTGAGTCAGATTAGTTAGGCTTAGTTGGAGTTAACAATATTTCTTACCTTTCTTTCTTTATAATTCTTATTGCAACCACTATGGGTTATGCCCTTATTTCTTCACACCTGGCTATATCAATAATCTATACCTTTTTTAATTTTTTTTTTTTTAAGTCTTGTGCCTGCCCTCTTATTCTCTGTTGCCAGAATAATTTCTTTAGAACGCAGGACAGATCCCACTGGGCCACAAGCTCCAAATTATCTATTGCTTATCAAATTAATGATGACATTCAAGGCCCGGCCCTTTATATCTGTTGTCCTTCCCTCTCTTATAAGTAAGTAATCTTAGCTTCCCACCATGCCCCACTCCTCACCCCTGAAAGCACCTCTGTGCCTCATGGCTGGCCTGTGCACACGCCTTGTGCATTCTTGACTCTCAGTCTTTGCAATCCTCATCTTTTTCTTTTCCAGTCTGGTATTCAAAATATAACCCAAATCTTTCCTGCCTTACCTTAGAATGACCTTTGATGCACCCACTGCAAATACACTCAGCACCTAGTTACACACTAGCTTTTATTGTAAATTTAAGTCGTTAAGACTATGAGTCTTTTCAAATATACTGCAAGTTATGTGAAGGCAATTACAGCATTCTTATATTTTTTGTGTGTGACCCCCAGTTCCTGGGCCTATAAGTTGACTGGAGAATGATATTGATAGGTTATATTTTTTCCCTCAAATGAAGGAATCTACAAAAAGATGGAAAGAGAAATTACTTGAAAACTATGTTTTAGCAAATATTTAGCAAAATCCAAAAAATTAAAATGATCATGGAGAGATCTTTAAAACAAGTAGATATTTAATATCATTGAGAGGGATACAGCTCCTCTAGATGTTTTCTTTCATGGTCTTTGAAAAGGGGTTTTCTTTACTACTGCTAAAAAATGTCCACCTCTATCTCAGAAAAAGTACTTTCTTTATTGTTCCTAAAAAAAAAATGTCTAGTTCTAACTCAAAGTACAATTTAGAGCTTGAAATCCTTCACCTGCAAACTTGGCAGTGAGGGTGTAGGTGGCTGAGTTTAGGCATTTGATTATTGCCAAACAACTTGAAGGCGATTATGAATGGAACTGAACTGGTTGGTGTCTTCCCAAGCATTTTCCTTCTAACTAAGGTTGAACTTTTCTCCATTGCCCTGAACAATTAGCCACAGTCCCCATAGGTAAGGTAAAAATGGCGGCTGCCTACCCTATATTTATTTGTCAATCCTAATTCAGAATCATGAATAAAGCTTTCCCTAACTCAATCTATCCCAAACTGCCTGTCCTTCGAAGCTCTATGGGAGCAGCCTGCGCTCTCTCTCTCTCTCTCTCTCTCTCTCTCTAATTCAGTATTTATGTACCATTCATGTAGTGCCTACCATGTGCTTGTGACTATTATCTGCTCTTGATTATTGAAGAGTTCCTTCTCCATATGTCTGGAGAGGCATGAAGCCTATTTAACATGGGATTAAATGGGATCTTGTTAAAACTGAATTCAAAATTGTGGGGAATGCTATGTGATCGGTAGCTTCTGGAATATCAGCAACATGAGTGTTATGGTTTAGATATGAGTTGTCCCCCAAGATCTCATGTGTGAGACAATGTAAGAATGTTCATAGGTGAAATTAGATTAGGAGAGGCATAATCTAATCAGTAGATTAATCCACATGGACGGATTAACTGTGTGGTACCTGAAGGCAGGTAGGGTGTGGATCACTTGGGGGTATGCCTTTGGGGTTTACATTTTGTCCCTGGTGAGCAGAGGTCTCTCTGCTTCCTGGATGTCATGTCCTGAGTTGCTTTCCTCTAGCCATAGAGTCAGATGACCATAAACTGAACTTAGGAAACTGTGAGCCAAGATAAATTTTTCCTCCTCTAAGTTGTTCTTGTCAGATATATTGGCCATAGTGGCACAAAGCTGATTAAAACAGCAAGGGAAGAGGCATTCCTTCTCCACTCTTCCCTCTGCCTGATCCTGGTGTCCCTGGTGTGGGTTGAAGGTGACAGAACAAGGGTGGGTTAAGCTTGTCCTTGGAACACTTGAAGGCTTCTCTGGAATAGAAAAATGCTTCTTGAGAAGTTTTCAGAGCCAGGAGTCTCTCAAGGAGGAATATTTGAAGTGCATGTTTGCTAGCTTTGATGGAAGTGTGCGTACCACCTAGGAGCCATGTGGATAGAAAAGAGCATTTCAGGGTTAAGTCTTTAGCAGATTCCTCTGTTTTTTCCTTGCCACAAAATGCCAATCTTGTCCAACTGTTATAAGTCCTCTGGGGAACTTGGGCCTTGCTCCAGACCCAGGCATGATTATCAATTAATCAGAGAGCCAGTCATAGTTATTCTCTTCTTGGCCATGATTAGATATAATGCAAATCTGGCCAATAAGCTGCAAGGGGAAATGTGCTTTTCAGGAGACTCCTGAGAAAGATTTCATTTATCCCTCAAAAGGACCATATGAAGTGAAACTTCCTTTTTTCTTGTTGGGATGTTGTTGTCTGAGGACACAATGTTGGAGCCACTGCAGCTATGTTGGAATCATAAGGGGACATCTTAGGACACGCAGAGGATGGCAGAGTAGAGAGAAGAACCGGGGTCCTTGATGACTTTGTTGGGCCCTGAACTAATTCTGGAAATTCCCCATCTCCAGACTTCTTTAATCACATTTCATCAATTTTTGAGTTTTTTTTTAAAAAGCATTTTAACAATTCTGAGATTAGAATTTATCTTTTATCGTATGTTATAATTAAATTGGCAGCATTTTTTTTCTTAATGTAACCTAAAATAATTGGGTGTTGTTTTTTTAAAAGAATCTATATGTAAGATTTCATAAAACATAAATGTTCTTATTATATTCATCTTTTTTAAATTAATTTTTAAAATTTATATATGACACCAGAATGCATTACAATTCTTATTACCCATATAGAGCACAATTTTTCATATCTCTGGTTGTATAGAAAGTATATTTACACCATTCGTGTCTTCATACATGTACTTTGGATAATAATGTCCATCAAATTCCACCATCATTTCTAACCCCCTGCCCCCTCCCTTTCCCTCCAACCCCTCTGTCCTATCTAGAGTTCGTCTATTCCTCCCAATCTCCCCCTCCCTACCTCACTATGAATCAGCCTCCTTATATCAGAGAAAACATTTGGCATTTGTTTTTTTGGAATTGGCTAACTTCACTTAGCATTCTCTTCTCCAGCTCCAACCATTTACCTGCAAATGCCATGACTTTATTCTCTTTTATTGCTGAGTAATATTCCTTTAGTAGATTTTCTGCTACTTTCCTTTGTAAGTATTGTAATCAGTATGGCGATTTTCCTCACAGGATGATTCTGGGAGTGGAAGATGTTTGGTGGAGGAGGTGGCCCAGCCGCCGTGATTTGGTCCTTCATGAGGACATCCATGGCTCTGAGTGGGGCCTGGACTCTTTCTTTTCAGAAAGAGATTCTGCTCTTATTAGACTCTGGAGCCAATGACCTGTATGGGTCCCTGCCTCTCCCCAGGCACAGATGTCACAACAAGCAATCCAAGTTTACCCTATGGCTGGTGGGGTTCTTAAAACAGCCAGTCAGTTATGGGGGTCGCTTGCATTGACAATGGGCTTGGAATTTTTGAAATCTAGAGTGCATGTCCACTTAGCTGGAGAATGAGATAAGGCTCCAGCAGAGGGCTGGAAACAGAGGGAGCTAAATGCACGGTGACCATTTGTACCCCTGCTCATCTCACTCTGGGTGGGAGGCTGCACCCCATCCCATGCTCCTCACCCCTTTCCTACTCCTGGCAGGAGGCAGAGCTGATGCCTCTTCTCCAGGGCTAGCCTTCTTGTCCCCCCCCCCTCTCCTCTCTGCAGTCCCTAGTCATGGAAGGACTGGGATCAGCACCTCCCAACCTTGAATATCTCTCTTCATTTTGAGTTACATTCTCCTCCGGTGCAAGTGGAAATACAAAATCACAAAATCAAATCCTGACTCTGTAGGGGCACCCTGTCTCCCTGGATGGACTAGTGAATAACAGACTTGTGGTACACCCATTTTCCTCCAGGGACAGAGGAGGTTTTCTAATTCTTTGAAATGAATTTTCATTACATTTCCTTGAGACTTCTTTTCTGGCTGCGCCGGCCTTCCTATACTTTGGAGAGTGGAGGAATGGGTCATGTGAGGGAGCAGGAGAAGCAAGGTCCTGTCCACCTGCCTCCCTAAGCGCAGCACTGAGGGCCAGGTGGAGCACAGGGCTCCAGTGTTGGCTCCTTCTGCCTCTTCCCTGCCCCTCCACGCCTCCCCCTCCCACCAAAGCTCAAGTGCAGCTTCTGCTCCATGTCTCCCAGCTGTCCTACCTGAGCTAAAGCTTAGGGAAGCTCAAGTCACTCACCCATGTAGAAATACTCTGGGGACTTGTCCTCCGACGACAAATCCTTTATGGTGCCTCCAAATCGAAACCATAGTCCAAAAGCAATGACGGCTGACCCGGCCAGCTGCGGGGCAAACAACACCGTATTTACAATGGAAGTGAAGAGGGGGTGTGCAGACCCACTAGCAGGTGCAGGCACAGACAAGGGCTCACCCTTGGACATTACCTAGTCCACCCTTCAGCTCTTATGGGGGAGGAAAGGGAGGTTCACAGAGGTGGAAGCATGTGTTGAAGCCCCTCAGCCTGGTGTGATGATGGCACTAGGCCCACACTACCAGCTAGCTGCCTGGTGGTTATGCGGCACACGTGCCATGCTGAGGGCATCTCAGAAACACTATCCTAACAACATCCCCCTGGCAGCATCTTCTCCTTGACTTATTGTCCTTTGCTGGTTCATTGAAACTCGTCACCAATATCACAGTGAGAGGTGACTGGGTCTCAGGTGCCAGGTCACCAAGAGCAAGATGAACTCCAAGACCTGGGGGAACTTGTCTTTCTCAGTTAGAGGAAAATGCACCAACCTTCAAAATGCACCACCCACACCTCATGATGCACACTCTCCAATTAGAATGTAATTCCAGAGGTTTCTGTAACCCTCTCGCCCCCAGTCCTGTGTGGTAGTCACTGTCCTGCCCCTTCCTGGGGATGAAGTAGGGAACCTGGCTTTTTTTTTTTTTTGGTTACTATTTTGAGTTTCCATGGAAAGTGAGAGAAGAAAAAATAATTTTCTGAAACAGCGTGGTCTGCGCTGTGCGGCTGGGGGAGAGGCTGGGCGGTTGGCACGGGCAGTGGCTGGGCAGGCTGGCAGCTGGTAGAGTCATCACCCGGGCTCCCTCCCTCCCCTCTGAAGGTTGCCGTGGGGCTCAGCATTAAAGCCAGAAGCCCTTTCTGCCTTTGCAGGACCGTCACTGCTGCAGGCCAGCAGGCTCCTGCCGTGGTGTTCTCAAATTTCACTGTATCAATCAATCAACGCATATTTACTGGGCACCTTCTGGGCACAAGGCATGATGGGAAAATAAGCAGAAATGTAAAAATAGCCTCCTGCTGCTGCCACCCTGTCCAGTCTCTGTTGGGCTGCCCCAGTCTTTCCCCAGACAAGCAATTCAGAGCCTGCCCCTGCAGGAACAGAGAAAAGCACACCGGGGGCTGATGACATGAAGACAGGATGAAAATCACAGAGGCAGAGGTTTAACAAGGAAAAATCAAAGTCAGGGTTAGCCCAGAGACTTTTGCATACGGGTTCCTTCTGTCTTGTGGGCAGCTTGTAAAGGACCTGGTGCTGTCTGGCTGGGTTTCTACCAGGACTTTATCCCCCTTCACCTTCTGTCCCCCAGGGCCAATTCCCTCCTCCCCGGGTTTCTTCAGAAACGCTGCAGGACTTCGGTGAGGAGGAGTCCGAGGGCAGAGTTTTACCAGCTGGACTCTCCCCATGGGGAATAACTAACAGTTTCCAGCCTCAGAGGAAAGCGCTAATTGAATAGTGTGAGGGGCAGCTAAAGGAACTGGGCACAACCAGCTTTTGAAAAAACTGCTGAATTTTAAAAATCAGTAGCATGGCTTGAAAATCTGGAAAGAAGTCATGTTAAAAATGTTAAAATAGTCATAATATTTATCATCGAAGGGAGAGATTACAGGTGACTTTCTTTTAACCTTAAAAATGTAGTTTTAAAACAGCGTTACGTGGTAGTTTTTTTTTTTTTTCTATCAGAAAAAAAGTGAGGAGAGTATGCTTTTGTTGTGCTTTAACTTAGAAGGAAACCAGTTTGGGGACCTCACTGTTGCTGTGCAGGAAAGAGGGTGCTGCCCTCAGTCAATTGCTGTCCCTGCTCGTCAGGGGACAAGTTGTCCAGCAAAGCCTGACGGGCAACCTTACCACCCTCTGCAGTGCCTGATGGAAAGAGAGTTTCCAAATACAAAGCAAAAATCTATTGACAGAGGCGCCAGGCCAAAGCCAGAAGCCACCAAGCAGACTGTGGAGGAGGTGACTGGTCCCAGGGACACCCTACCATGAGGCCACATTTTTGGAATCTCTGTACACAAACTCTAATTTATAGCTGTCTGGGATCATCCTTCCAGACGGAATACATTTGTCCAGTTCTGGCACGGATGTGTTTGATGCATAATGGAAAATTAAAAGAGAGGTTGCAATTTAAAGCCATCGGGCAAAGGGGAAAAAATCTGCGCTTGCTCATCCCCGCCCCAACCCCCAAACCACACGGGTTTCCTCCTGGTTCAAGGAATTGTGGCTTAGCTGAATGTCATCACTGTGTGGAGGGGAATCCTCCCAGTGTGCTGCCAGGGAGCTAGCCAGGGCTGATATTGCGATGAGAAACAGAGTGAGCACTGCTTTGGGAAGAGGCACAGCAGGTCCTTTTGAACTCACCAATCCTGTAAGGCTCATGCAATGCTCTGTGTTCACTGGACTTATTAGCCTGGTCTACCACACACCAGAAATTGCCCCCCAAAAGTTCACACCAATTGCCATTAAGTCAGCATGGAGGTAAGTGAATCTGGTGTCCCTAAGTTCTCATTACTCTCTGTTCCATACAGCCAGAAGAGATCGGCTCCCCTGAGGGAAGCCTGCAAGCCCCTGTAATCCTAAACCACCAGGCCAACACTCCCTTTTGCCCTAATTCTCTCTTCTTTTAATCCCAGTCCATTTTTTTTTTTTTTTTTTGCATTCAGACATATCCGCACCTCTGTCAAGGTTAAAAACAACTAAGGAAGGAGAGGACATCCATGGCTCTGAGTGGGGCTTTCTTCTTTTCTTCTCTTGCCCCTACCCTGCCTTCACTTCCTCTCTTTCTTCCTTGAGTGTTTATTCAGCGGGAATCAACTCTGATCTAGCACAACTCTATTGTGCTTGGCATCAGGGAAACAACGAAAAAGGTGGGGATCACAATCCAACATGGAAGATAATCAACATGAAGTCATAAATGCAATATGAGGCAGGGAACGAGCTGAAGAGGGACAGCGTGCACACGGCCAAGGGATGGTGCAAAGCACAACCACCAGTGTGCAGCAGTTGTTCACTCTTGATGTATACCCAGAAGAGCAGAGAACTGGAGGGAGGTGAGAGCTCCCAGCCGAGGAGCACAGGGAAGGGCTTCATTTCCTTACCCTGATGCTGGGCTGGGGAAAGAGACGAGTCTGGGGGAGGCCAGAGTCTGGGCTTTAGCAGGAAGCTGGGATGCAGGGCTTCTGCCTACCTTTGCATCATCTTGGGAAGCCCCAGAGCCTTGAGTGAAGAAAGGATGGAGACCCTTCTTTTGATGGGAACAGTCAGGAGCATGAATCTTGCTTGGGTGCCTGATACAGCAGGGAGCCAAAGATAAAGGCCTGAGTGACTGTGGACCAGAGAGAGAGAACACTAGGGAGTGAAGCTAACAGCTGAGAGGACCAGAAAGAGTTCACCACACCATTTGAAGAACTTTGCTGAGGGGTCCTTCTAGGGCCAGTACCACGCCTAGGGCCTTTGAGAGAATGACAACCAGAAATATTGTTTTGTAGGAACGGGCTTTTTCATACAGCGGAATGGGTTGGACCTTCATGTTAATCATTTTAAAAAAATCACTTATTGAGCATGACTGTGAGCCAGGAGCCTAGGACTCAGAGTTGACAAAGAACCAGTCTTTCTCCTGGGGTTCTCAGGGACTCATGGAAAGCTATTTGGTGGCCTAGGTAAAAACCTAGTCCTGCAGGTGAGGATCCAATCACAGGCCCAGCCTACCAGAATGCACACAAGAAGACGCCAGATAACATCACCTCTTCAGTCATCTCCCCTTTTCTGAGGACCAGTTGTGCACAAGGCACTAAAAAAATGTGTTGAAATGAGGTCTGAGGGCAAAAGTGTGCCCACTACTTAAAAACATAAAATAGAAAAAACAAAAACCAAAAAAGGCGAGAAGAATGCAGTGAAAGGAACAGTGGTGTACAAACAAACCTAAGCCATTAAAGAGGGGCTCGCCAGATTTTCCTGGGTAAGTTATTCCAGTAGCTAACCATATTCCAGAGTGTTTGCGGGACACAAAATTGCAAATTGTAGGCACATGTCTTTAGAGAAGACATGTTTGCATTCTAAAACTAAAGAAGCAGAAGAGAGGACTGAAGACGGATTTAAAGAATTTTTAAAGCAAAGTGGATGGGCAGAGTTTCCTGTAAGTCATGGCTATCTGAAAAACTAAGCCATTTAGCATAAAGCAAAACTTGTTTATGGATTTCACCTTGATTTTAACTGCATTTATTTTCACTTTCCTGGGCCTGCTGATAAAAGGGCCTATCGTGAGGACATAGTTTTTTTTCACTTAAAAACAAGAAAGATTTTATGAATCACAAACATGGTCCCCTGTGGTAGTCCAGCTGGAGACAGGTAGTGCTGGGATGCAAAAACGCAGAGACCACTCCCTGGACCTGGCTCCTCCTGTCTGCCCAGCCTTCCCCTCCTGGACACAGGCCAACGTGGATCACAAACAGCAAACGCTTGGTACTGCTGGTGAGCAGTAAACCTCCTTTCTGGGTCAAAAGCACCCCCAGAGACAGTTCTAGATAGTACATATGCTTATATCTAGGTACCAGACCAAAGAATGATCCTCAGAGGCCCTAAGCCACAGTCTCAGTTCCTTCTTCCACTGGAGGCCACTGCTCTTGCCGTTTCCCGAGACAGAATGCTCTCCTCCCTCCCCTACCAGACTGACACCCACTCAGTGTTCAGCTTTCCTGTCACTTGGGGAAGACTACCCTAGCCTAGTTATTTGTCTTTTTTCATAGCACATGCAACCATTTCTATTTAAACATTTCAGTAATTTTTTTCAAAAAGCCCTGATTTCTGTGAGGGCAGGGATGGGAGCTGTGTTGCTGTAGTACAAACCCCTTCCTCTTGTCTTGCAGAATGGGCTCCCATTCTGTCAACTGACATATGACATATGTCACTGAAGGAGCAGAAGACCTACAAAAGATACCACTTAGGCTATGCTGTGGATGGAACTGCGACCCCTCACCCCACGATTCACACACTGCAGCCCTACCTCCCAGTGCGGTGATATTTGGAGATGAGGCCTTTGGGAG